CCAAATGTCATATTTTAATGCACTAATAACACTGTCTTGACATCGGGAGGGCAACAGATTGGTCATAAATAACCACTGTTTTTGCAAATAATTACGGCGATTATAGCGAAAAAAGCCCTCTGTTGAATTGCGCGGTATTTGGAGTGGCATGTATGGGCCATGGTGATGTATCTGAAGATAATGGTAAGGGCACCGATAAAATGTCACTAGTTGTTATGGTAATTTGAATCAAATGTTCGCATTTTGGCATGCTAAATAACTTGTTTACATTTTAAATTCCTCAAAGTTACAATTGCGCATTTATTTAATGTCGAGTCTTGAAATCGAAGTAAACAAAATCAAATTTAACGTAGAAACAAATTTAGCAGTTTGGACAAAACTAAATCAAATGGTATTAGGATATCTTGATGTACTTAAGCGTTGTTTTACACAGCAGCCAGTCAGATAAATTTAGAAAATGACCATACAAATTTGCCCACGGTTAACGGAAATGTAGTTTTGCAAATGCCCCCAAAAATTTCCTTATCATTTATGCTATGACACTGAGCAGCATTATTTTCCCCTGACGATCGGGATTTCTGCAATTCGCGCCTGCATAAAATAGCATGTTTTGTGCGCCACTGAAAATGGGAGGGCCTACTTTCTGCCAAGTTCCCAAATGGGGTAATGGAGAAGTGAACTTCGGAAGAAGAGGTCTTTGGTAAAGATAATGTGCTTACTGCTCGTACGGCGTGTCTATATGTTTTCTAGCGGGGTTCGGGCCTTAGCATGTCTTTCGCCCTTGTGAATTTGCCTGATACTTATGCTGTTTTAACGGGCCTTTCAGGGAGGAGACAAGATTGTAATTCGAATCTGATGACAGGGTCGTCAGCTCTCGTACCTAAGTGCGATTGCGCTTTCTCCCCCCTTCCCAAACTTTGTATTTGTTCGCCCGATCAATTTCCCCCTAATAAACATGTCGAAATTAAATCCACCGGGTTGTTCTAAGAGCACTAGGAACAGAGAATAGAAGATTTGTGAGACTCGCCATGCATTTGTTCAAGTCGAAATGCCCTAAACCTATTTGTAAGCATTAGTAGGTAAGTTTTGTTACTGATTGATATTTGCCAATTAAATAAGGCAGGAAAATTAGAAATCCAGCCATTTTAGGAACGAGCATATTTCAAAGTATTAGACCAAAAGGACTTGCTC